TTGTGGTTTTACTGAATGTCTTATATTCTTCCCTCACAGGTATGGCAATGAATCATCAAGGAAATCCACGTATGATGGGACCTGGAAATGCTGGACCTATGCCTGCACTTAGTCCTCTGGGCATGAACCCCTTGGGGTCCCAGCCTCTATCTCATGGCATGCCCCCACAGATGCCCTCTCCAAATGCCCCTAACATGGGCCCAGGCATGATGTCTCACGGCATGATGATGCAACCAAATCCACAGGACCCTGGTATGCCAAATCCTCAAATGATGCCCCAAGGACGCATGGGTTACCCTCACCGAAACCAGGGGTACCCGCTCACCCAGTCCCCGTCCCAACAAGGCCCCTTTTCCCCACACAATGGCCCCGGCCCCCAAGGTTTCCCTGGTCATCCGATGGGGTTCCAGGGTGAACCGGGGCCAATGGGCGGACGGATGGGGAACATGCCTCATGGGGGTGGGGGTGATGGGGGCATGTGCAAGCCTAATACACCTGGCGGACCGGAATTTAACAACATGCAAGGAGGATTTGGAGATGCAGACCTTCATGAAGTGATGCGGCAGGGGGCTTCTGGTATCCCAGAATTCGACCTGTCCAGGATAATCCCGTCAGAAAAACCCAGCCAGACTCTGTCGTATTTTCCCAGGGGTGGAGGAGATAACCCAGGAGGCAAACCCCCTCACCCGTCTGGGTTTCCAATGCAGAGCATGATGAGTGACGGCCCCCCCAGGATGGGGATGCCCATGCAGGGGATGGGGGGAATGTCAGGGGGACCCGGTGGGGGTATGGGCCCCCAGGACATGCCGATGGGCAACCCAGGTCACGGTTCAATGCGGCCGCCGGGATTCATGGGCCAAGGCATGATGGGCCCTCAGCACCGGATGATGTCTCCTGGGGGTCCGGGAGGGATGATGCAGGGGAGACAAATGGCTCACCCAGGCCCTGGTGGCTCACCTAACATGATGATGTCACTACAGGGCATGGGCGGTCCTTCACAGCAGACGATGATGATGGGGGGCCAAGTGAGGCTTCGTGAAATGGACATGGGGTTCAGTCCGGGGCAGGGAATGTTCTAATCTAACAAACACCTTGTAACTAGAATGTTCTCGAACAAATAACCAAGGAAGATAAAAAAAAAAAAAAAAAAGATGGAGTGTAGCAAGTATTCAGAAACAGAGGGACTCAAGTAAATGAGATGAAACACTAAAGTGTGCGCCCAGGAAAATGAACCCTCTAGAGCTAACCTGTTGCCTAGTAATGTCTTTTGAGGACACTTCCATTCGAGGAGAAAAGATGGGGCCCATTTTGGTGTACCGTTCGCCACACGCGTCTAATTTTGACTCAAGAACTCGCAGAATGTACGAGATTGTTGTTCATCAATTTCGCAGAAACTCTTGGTGTTATTACTTTTTTTGTTCTTTTTGATTATCAGACTGTAAAGATGACTGACATCAAAGAGGAACCAACCTTAACACTAAAAGTCAGCTTGGAGATGCTACAGTATATGTCAACTTTTTTTTTTTTTTCCAAATAAAAAAAACAAACAAAACTAAACTAAAAAACAAACAAAAATTTGTCACAAAAGTGATATGGAACCAGAGAGAGGAGGAGGAATACTTTGTGCTTTGTGAAGACTTTAGTGGAAATCCATCTTGTCTCTCGCTCCATTGTTTTTTGACTGTTTCTGTACAGTATATACGTGAGGGTGTGTTTGTGTGCCTGACAGATGGTATGTTTGTGTGGTATGTGTGTGTCTATGTATAGGCATTCTATCAGTGACCTCTTAACGCCTCTTACCCAGCTTTCATTGGGGTGGAGGAACGCCCCCCCTCCTTAAAATACTGTACGGTTTGCCATTGGTGGGCTATTCAAAATTTTAGTCTATTTTAATTTCCTTTGTTACTCCAGTGTATAACAAACCAAACTATGACCTCATTAAGATAATAGTATTATTAAAAAAAGCACAAACATGGACCATCTGCAGAAAGCGTCTTCTTTTCTCTGTTTCTTACATGCACTCAGTGTGAGGATCCCGGCAGCTTTGCCGTACCATCGCCAAAACCTTTAGGACTTCACCGGCGTGAATAATATTGCTAACTACCCAGACGTGCTATGTGTCTTCTTCTTGTTCCTGTTGTGTTCCCGTTTTGTTTTTTGACTTGTTGACTCTGGGTAATAATCATTCCCACAGCAATAATCCATGAAGACACGATGGTCCGCAGACTGGGATGGTGCCGCTGAATGCAGAGAGCAGGATCGTCAGGTATTATAGACTTTAGAGCTAGGTGTATCCGGCTAACGTTTTAGCAAGGCGAGACGCAAGGAAATGTAAACACGTACTGCTTACCATCCGGTTGACTTCCTCTCTTTTATCTATTGTATAAGCTTGTCATGTGTTTCTCCATTGGCTTTGGTGCAGAAGAGCCTAACCAGGGCTGTTGGTGATGGACTACAAATAAAAGATATTGTTTTGGTATATACATGTTGTCCATGCAGTGTGTGTGCGCCTGTTTCTGTTCATGTACCCCCGTCATGTGGACTCTAACCAGTCTGTCCCTCCTTGCATGTCGATCGAGTTCACCAGCATCCTTTAGGTCCGGGCAGAGCAAGTCTTTCATCTGAGGACATTTTATTGGAGAGCAGCAAGAAGAAAGCCAGATGAGGAAACAAAGCATGCAAAATGTTACCTGTAAGTGGAAAGAAAGAACAGCTGAGTACACACAGTAAGAAATTGGAGCATCATACTCCTGTTTATCCCAACAAGCTTTTATTTTCCAACTTTGACTGTTGGTGATTCCAGATAGAGAGCTACCATCCTGCAGCGTCTACATGCATCCCCTCCAGCTCACCTGAATCAAGTGGCTGAATTCCTGGTTCAGGTCTGCTGGAGATGAGACGCATCTAAAGCAAGGGTCTGCAACCTGTGGCTCCTGACCCACAGGTGGACCTTTGTAACTTATACAATGGATCTTTATATTGGCCCGATGATGTAAAGAAGCAGTTAAAGTAGTATAATAAATGCCACCCTTAGAAACTTAGTTTTTTTATAAAGAATATTTGAATTTTCTGAACAGAATTGTTAAAAGAATAATTGAACTTTAACCAGAACTGGACATATCTTTGTAGATCAACATGTCTTATCATTGGATAGAATTTTTATGGGGGAAAAAAATAGTTGCTTTGTCTTTATAAAATGTTTTATGTTTTGTTCATTTTAAAAGCTATATATACAAATAAGTGGGTTTTTATTTTTATGGTAATAGGTTTCATTTATCAGATATTTAAAAGGACCGTGTAAGATTTAGCCCCATCTAGTGGTGATCTAAATGAATTACAAATGGCAGACAAGCTGGTTGCCTCCTCTTTAAGCGTGTGAGACCTAAGGAAGCCGCCGAGGGACATCTAACAGCAGCTAATAACTTGTATCCGAGCTCATCCATTGCAGGCTGACAAACTAGTCACCTCTGCCTTTTTTCTAACATAACAGCAAGATCAACTTTGTTATATTGAATTATCTTACCTGTCCAGCAGAAGGGCTGCACCCTCAGCTTCCACCTGCTAAAATCCTCTCAATGTTGTGTTTTTATTTATTCTACTCGAGATAAAGTTCGGATGTTCCTCCTTTGAGGCACAAAGTGGTAGAATGATCTACGATCGTTTTTCCTTGTTAACTCTTCGTTCACCAACAACACATTCCCAGATACAGGTGAAATGCACAAGTTTGTCCTCTTTCGGCTCCTGTAATCCAAAATGCCGACACAATATGGCATCTCCCATTGGGTGAACCGCTTCTATTGTATTTATAAACTACTAATTCTAAGCCATGAGAACACTAATTTTTTTTATATCATGTTATTAGACTCGCACAATAGATGTTTTCCAAAGCCAGATTTTGCTAATAAAAATCCAGATATGTTAGACACACACTTTAACAAAAAATAACATTTGCGGCTCTAAATGACTTTTAATCAGACATGGGGCAAACTCACACTTTGAGGGTCTGATAGAAAAGTAGCACCGAGGACTGGATTTAAAAAAGCCCTGTATTTAAGGGCCCTTTATATGATTTTAAAGATTTATCTGAGAAAAAGGGTTTAATTAATTTTAAATATTAAGAGTAAAGTTTATTCATTTTCTATAACTACTTTTATGAATTAATGGTTCAGTTGTAATAAATAACTAAAGACTTATGACTTACAGACAACTAAACAAATGCATATGTAATTTTTTTTTTAACGTAGATGTGAGAGTAAATAAGGTAGAAAATGAGAACAAGCTCAACATGGAAAAAAAAATCTGTATTTTTCTTTCACCCATCCAAACCAAATGTTTATAATAGAAGAAGAAATGCCACCAACAACAAACATCAATCAAATATAACTGTGTTCATCAAAGAGGAAATCCTTGTTCACTCAATTCTTAAACCATCTAATAACCTTTTAGCTTTTCCACAAAAGATAGTTCCCTAAGGAATAAAAATCTGTAGTCATGGCGGATAAGGAAGTTTGGAGGATAACAGTCATGGGAAACGAACAGCAATGCTTTCTCCATAGCTGTGCACCATCAGACATAATCCATCAGACAATCCAAGAGAAAGACTAAGACAATTTAAAACAACTGGAAGTATACCATTCAGATTTAAACTTCTACTTAGGTTTAAATATCACATCTGAATTAACCATAAAATGTGATTGACCAGCTGTGTCAAAATCTTACAAAGTAAAGATGCTATAGAGACCATACAGTCGCTATGGCATGCATGGAGGCAGAGGGATGAAGATTGGGGCTAGCAGTTTATGATGGCCGTCTGATGGAGCTGGGCCAAAACTAGTTAATTGATTATACACTATCTAAAAAAAAGCCTTAAATTGCCTAATCTCCCAGTTTGGTGATAGATTACGGAGATAATGAGCATAAAATCCATGAGAGGAATAAAATTGCTGCAACATTAAGTTGCTCTCTGAGGTGATGAAGTATGCTTGTTTTTCCCATCACTGTATAAACGCCAAAACAGCTTGTCCCCATAACTTTAACACACCCAGGATAGTAGATACTTTTAAATAATTTAATCATACACTTTCATAATGTTTTAAACTCTACAAATCACCTGAAGAAAGGCAGGCAGACATTTTGAATTGAATAAGCTTCCTGGATGGGAAGTGAAATGTCTTCAAACTTGGAAACAAAGTCCAGTGCATTGTTTTTTTTTACTTTCTTTGGAACAACATAAAGGCTTATTTAATGTATTGATATGTGAAACTCAATCCAAAATAATCATTAAGTACATTCAATTCAACAGCAACATCACCAAACTAGTGAAATATACCTTTTGTTAAGCAGTGCAAACGTAATACTGATGATGCGCTCGCCTAGATGAGTTCACTAGAAATCAGTCGGGGGTAAAAGCGGATACAAATCGATTGAGTGAAAAAAAAAAAAGAAAACAACTTTTCTGCTAGTTTGAAGTAAGAGAGCACCTTGGTGTAAATAAAACAACTGAGGAAAAATCTGTTTATAAAAATAATTTAAACAAGATTTAAATGTAAAGAAAGACGAGCAACTCATTTAACTGATGTGTTCAAGACTTCATGGTGACTGGATGGAAGGAGAGCTGAGCATAATGTCAAGACGGGTTTTGTGTTTCTTGAAAGTTCAGGGTTCAGTGGGTCCTCCTGTGCTGTTGCAGCGAGTAACGTAGACTTCAGGGTTTAATGTGTATGCGGAGAGGAGCTGTTTGAACTCCTGCAGGGGGCAGTAGACTCCACTGCAACCTGGTATGAGTTGATCCTGGGAAGCATGAAGCAAATGTGACTTGGATGAAGGGAGAGCCAACAGCTTTGATGGTTGGGTCGATTAGAGGCGCGCCTTACCTGGCCTATGTAGGACACCTTTACAAATGCGTCTCCGGTCTGCCGGTGTTGGTGCAGCTCCAGAGTGATATCAGCAGCATATGGTGGCCATTTCATGTCGTAGATTTCCAAAGCCATGAGGCAGGGAATCAGAGTGGTGTCATGGGCTGAGTAAAGGAACAACTTCCTGTTGAGAGAGTTAATCCTTGAAAAAAATCTATCTGTTTTGGGAAAGAAGTGAAGGTGCTCGATGTGAGGTGTCCAACCTGTTGGCCTCTGCTGAGCTGTCCTGTAGCTTCTTCTCAATGTTGTCTAACAGCAGGTGGAGGAGAGATCCCACCGACAGCTGGAGCTTCTCACTGTCACAGTATATAGCATTTAAAAATACCTTAATGAGCAGAACCAGCACGCATTAAATGATTAAAATGATGCTGTTAACCTCTTGCTGGGTTCGTAAAGCCGGCACATCATGTCCACAGCTCTGTCCTCCACCGTATTCCTCCAGGAGTTCAGTACCGGCGGGATGGGAAGGCCATGTGTCTGAATGTTAGCAAATTAGATTACATTATTTTAAACCTAAAACGACTACAAAAAATATAACTGGGTCCACAACTAACAAACAAAACAAACCCAAATCTAATAAATCCTTAAAAAAAGCACATAGTTGTCTTTATAAACGGCTTTATCTGACTTCCACTGATACAGTTTGGTTTAAATATACTGGAATATGACCTGAATATATACTTTATCATTTCCTTAAAATAATAAGCCATTCCTATATAGGTTTTGAAGCACAACACCTAAAAATTTTCAACGATTAACATATTTAAGCAGCCACTGAAGGAAATATAAGCACTAAATAATGAATAGTTAGAATTTAGACAATAATTATTTAGAAGATAATAAAACTGTGCTAATACACTGGAAAAACGATCTAGAAATTAGTAAAAATTTCTTAAATTTACTGTATTTACCCTTAATTTGAGTAGGTATATAAGAGTTTGCCAATGGAATGAGTATTTTTACTCTTAAAGGTACACTATGCAACCGGTGTTGATTTTCCAGCGAGGCTCCCTCCAGAGGGCGAAAGTAAAAGTGCACTGTCGTAAATATGCTCAGCTGTTCTCCTGGTTTCTCCGTCAAGCCAGGCGCGGTTGTTTTGAGCTTAGCAGCGAATGACTAATGCTGCGTTCACACTGGACGTAGCTGGCGCGACAGAAGCAGCGAGTTTACATGCAAAGTCAATGGTTGACGCGCGTCAAGGCGCAGCAAAAGGTCCAGCGGCGCGTTTTGAGCAGCAGGTGCAGCACGTCTGAGCAGCTGAAGCAGCGCGTCGGGTGCGTTTAACGCAGGGAGAGAGACACAGCGCTGATGATCACTCCTCTTAAACAGTTTATTGACGCCTAAATTAACTCAAAATGCAGAAATCTGCCGGCAGAATATGCAGTTTGGATTATTTAGATGAAAAACACCTACCAGCTGCCGCGGTGAACCGCTGCTGATGAAGGGATCCATACTGTCGGCGCCCCGCTGGTATGTGGGGGTCTGAGCGGCTCCGACAGAAAAAATATTGAAGGCAGGATAATAATCTGAATGAACTGACTGCACTGATTACGTTTTCAGGTGTATTTTCTCACTTAAACACATATTAAAACTACTTTATTCCCACTGATCACAGCAAATATAGCTGCAAGGCAGAGAAAGGATAGTGAAGCTCCGCCCAACGCGCCTCAGACACACTTTTGCACCCCGCAGCCAGAGCAGCAAAGCTGCTTCAGCCTCGCGTCAGAACTAACTGGTACAAGCAGCAAAAAGGAAGCAGCAGACGCGATTTTGCTGCTTTTGCTGCGTGAACGTAGCATAACTGCACAAAGATTGCCACTGTGCTAGCAACGAGAATGCTTTTAATGGGGGCGTGTAGCAGTTCTCACCGTAAAGCAAGACTGACTCTCACGAGACTTCTGAGCCTGTGGGTGCGGGTCGGTGCTCCTGCAGTTGCAAGTGCAGTATTTCCCCCACAGACCACCAGGGCGGCCGAGAATACCTTTGTTCAACCTGAAATGACTCATTTAGTCATCCATAACGTTATGGAACACATTAATTAACTGAAAAATGTTGCATAGTGTCCCTTTAAAATAAGATATTTAGATAAAATGCACTTGAAATAAGACAATGTGTTAATGTGTTTTCTTATTTTAAATGTAAATTGTCTTGTTCCATGACTAATTATGGCTCACTAATAACTGATCAATCTTTAGATCTCTTTAAACCTGTTGGATTGCACCGACACATTCAGCAGCTAGCTAGTGTGCAGGTTGAACTTAGTCTCTATAATAACTGCCTCCAGACTGAAAGCCTGTGGTGAGACTCGGTAAAAAGTCGAATGGATCACAGAGTCACAGTGTCACCTCTCTGGCAACCATGTCATCCCTAATGAGGATGAAGTCGACGTGCTGGTGAGCAGCGATCCCCAGTGCACTCAGGATGCTCTGCAGGTCTGAAGCAATGCCAGGCAGAGTGGACAACTCAGCCCAGCGGGGGCTGTAAGGAAAAAAAAAAAAACACAGACACACCATGACAACCTACCAAAAGCGTCTGCAGTCTGCCCATGATTTTGAATTGGACGTTACTCTAGATTCCAGTTTTTGGTGCCCAGAGTGGTCTGTGAGTGATGGAGCTCAGTGGCATGTTAGAAAACTACACCTACCCACTGAGGACTTTCAGCAGCTTGCATCCGTGATAGTTAGGGTAGAGAATTTCAGATTCTGCCTCTGTTGTCAGGATGGACACAATATCTACACACCAAGAGAAAAAGGACAAAATGGATGACAGATGACAGAAAAAAAAATCCAGACACAAAGAAAGGCAGGAAAGAAGAAAAGACAGGGGAGCAAAATGGGGAAGACAAGAGGAAGGACGTAAAGGCCTCAAGGAAGTAAAATCACTAGTAGTGACAAAAATAATAAGCTAAAGGATCACAATAAAGGAAAGAAAAAGAGAATGAATGAAAACTTTTAGGAACAGAGATGGAGAATAAGATAAGAAAACATCGTCCAATTATTTAATCCATCCATATCAAGATCAGTAAACCAACACCAGGCTTTCCAGATCAGGTAGATCCCTCTATAGATGCGAGCATTTTAAATCTACCTTTTTGCTTTTGCTGGAAGAGTCCAGCTATCAGGCACTTGGCAGACTCTATAGTCCTTACAATGTTAGTGGAGCGCACGCTAAAGAAAAAAAGAAATTACACATGATTATTGGGTTACTAAAATCAAAAACGTTCATGATCAGCATCACTTACTAGACCTCTGCTGAGGTAAAGGTGGAGCTGAGGAAAGGGGTCTCCTCTATATATCTATTCCTCAACCTCTGGCCCAGCTCATACAGCTGCTGCATGCCCACTGTGGTCAGCTGACCAGGGAAACTGCCACCCTTCAAAATAAAATAATAAAAAGACTATGTCAAACATTTCAGATTCAAAGGTTAACCCAGAAATTTTATAGTGCAGTTCAGTGTTATGAGCAAAAAAATTTCCATGACATATTTAGAATAGCACATTTCTTCTACTTGCTCTGAATGTTCAGAGCGGAAGTCCGTCAGAGGTAGAACAGCATAATAACTGGATCACAGCAGCTGATGCAAAATTCAATATGTGCTCATTTAAAAATGAAAACGCTCTAAGATTATTGAACTACAGCCGATTCAACCAATTAGATTTTCATGCCCTCATAACTCAATACACATATATATATATTATAAAGTACTGTCTAAGTCTAAGTCTGTCTATATAAAATTATATGTAATTACTGATGGAAAAGAGAATTTATGATAAAAATTGTGGCTATTTCAAAATGTATAACTTGCTGTGATGATTTTGAAGCTGTATTTATTCTAGTGTGCAGTTATTATTATCCACTGTCCAAACAATTCTATATTTAATCTCGGTCTCATCTCCTCAATATGTAACTCTTCTAATGTTTTTGTGTATCTTTAGTAAGATTTTACTAAAATATGACAGAAAATAAAGCAGCTAGAGTCCGTCCTCATGTTGCAGACATTCAGCAGCGTAACAGGAGGATGAAAGCCCAGTTCTGTACATGGCAGCATAAAAGCTTCCTTTAAAAATAAGGAGAATTATAGTGAAATCCCGCAGCAGAACTAGGATCCACTTGGAGTGTGTTATTTTGGTTGGGTGGTAGCTTTATAAGCCTTTAAACCAGCTCCCTTCTGGCAAACTAGACCAGTAAATTGTGTCATTTATAGAAATATCAGTTATTAGGGGATTTATATGATGTTTAGTACAAGAGTTGGATTTCTGTGTTGTCTTTTTGTTTTAGGATTCTATTGTTATTTTAAGCCATTATTTTTTAACAACTCACACTACTGTAAGCAAACAGTGTGTGGTTTCTTGTAGCAGGGTTACAGCACGCTCCTAAACTCTCTACTTTATGAGAACAAACCTAAAAGGAGCCTGGCAGAGAATGATTATTTATCCAGTGCAACTAATGTAATCAGACCAAATGAAGCAACTTTAAGCCAAAATATTTCACAGTTGAACTGTTAGCCAGCATGATGAAAGAGCTACTTTTTTGTATCGCTGGCTGCATATAATTCAGATCACTTTTAATGCTCTCTGAGCTAAAAGTGGAATTTGCACCAGAGGGGTGAGGCTGATGGTTTGGTATGAGAAGACTGGCTTGTTCAGCGTCATGTCCTCCTTTACTGTTTCCTCATAACTCGGTGGCTCTTTTTAACTTAGAAATAGACAGTTTTTCTCTCATTTAGGGATGCAATAACTATTTCTGCAAACTGATTAATCTACTAACTAATAATTAATAATCAGACAGCAAAATGTGCTTGATGCAATGGCAACTGGCCAATAGAGAGAAATTAATACATTAAAATATATTAGTATATATTTTTAGATGTGGAAGATAAATATTTAATCTTTAATGACAAGTAAAGCTGTTTCATTCATAGTTGAAATGGTGCCGTAGTTCCACCTCAGGGTGTAAAAGTCTTTGGCCATTGACTCTCATTAAAAGTTGTACATGCACATTAGCTCCTCTGCTACACAATCCTGGGGCGCCGCTAAGCAGCGACCTGAGGTGACAGGAAGTATCGTCACAGTCGTAGTGCGGCTGATTGACAGGCCGAGTCACGGAAGTTGGAGACGACTGGAGAGAGAGAAATGGCGCTAGGAAAATTAAATTAAGTGAAGTTCCTTTAAAGCAAACTTATCAAGAGAAGCTGGAGGTGAAACCGTTTTTACCTGATCAGCCGAACATCAAAATTAATCAGCAGTCCAAAAACAGGGGGAGACGGTACACTCAGTCTTTTTCCAGGACCTGGTTTAGCTACAAAGGCTTGGTTAACTGCATGCAGAGAGGCTAACGCTTTATTCCACTTCCCCCGCCTTTCTACATTCCCTTTCTCATATGTCAGGATCTGACCCAGCATGAATAAAGCCAGATATGACTGATTTTAAGCACATTTTAGAAAATACAAACAGAATGAACAATTTGGGATTCATATGGAAAATAATATAATATAATGTATTTTTTCTAGGAGTTTGATAATTTGCATGGTTGCTCTTAAATTTCGTTTTGTATACACTCTGTGTATACAAAATGACGATAAAAGTTGTCTAAGTCTTAAATAAACACATTCTCAGAAAATAAATATTTAAAAAAAAAAATATAAAGCTGACTAACAGATTCTCCATTATTAAACTGGTACATTATTTTTTTTTTTTTTAGGTTTGTGGAACATTATGGACCATGCTAAACACAGA